GCAGGACACACGGAACAGCCCCTAATTCCCGGCATCAGCGTCCTTGCACGCCATCCACTTGCGTAAGGCGTTTCGGAGTCAGGTCGCCTGTGTGTGGATGACTGTCAGTGCTGCATGTGCTCTCATGCCTCCTTTGAAATGCAATGTATATTTGTATGCTGATAGCTTCAGCCAAACTGACACATTTTCTTAGATTTCCTACAAACAGATTTCCAAAGGGAACCTCTGACTTCTGAGCAAACGGTGCCTACTAGGGCGGCTTTGCGATCACACGGGCCGAGCTGTAGCTCCCGGATTTGCCGCCTCCCCCGTCTGAGCCGTGCATGTCACCTTCGCCGTGGGGCCGATACGACACACCTTCCAGGAGGCTTAAGCCCTTGCTGGCAGAGATGTGTCAGGGAGCTACGTGACCCAGGGCTGGCTCCCTGGGTGTGCGGCCAAGTTGGCGCAGGCCTCCTGCAGAGCTCTGAGCGAAGCTTCTTCCTCTTCCCTCCAATCAGGCAGACGTCTCACGACCCAGAGTGACAAGCCTGAGGAAAAAAGGCCAGTTCGCTGGAAACAGGGGAAGTGTGAGGTCGGAAGAAGGTCCTGGCTGAGACGCTGAATTAACCTGGCCACGCCACTTCCAGGTTCTCATCCTGTGACGGACATAGATGCCTTTGTTGTTGTTGTGTTACCGATGGTCGAGAACCTTCCTTGCAGCCCAAAGCCTCCTAACGGACATAGTGGCCCTTACGTGGATGCAGAACAGGGGTTAGTACCCAGATGGAATTAAAAAAAAAATGAAACACGCCCTGGCTGGTGCAGCTCAGTGGACTGAGCACCAGCCTGAGACCCAAAGGGTCACCAGTTTGATTCCCAGCAGGGCACCTGGCAGGTCCCCAGCTGGGGGTGCACGGGGGAGGCCACCACACATTGAGGTTTCTCTCCTTCTCTTTCTCCCTTCTTTCCCCTCTCTCTAACAATACATAAATAAAATCTTAAAAAAGATAAAACAAGATGGAGAAAGTTAAGTAAATTGACCGAGCCAGGCCATTGTTAGCAGATAGGAGCCCAGACATGACCTCTGGTGTCTGGGACGCAGCGCCAATTGGCCAGCGTTCAGTAAGCAAATCCCTGGAGGGCGCGGTCCCCACCTCTGGCCCTGACTGTGGGGAGGCAGCCTGACGTGAGGAAACAGGCGGCGGGGTGAAAAGAACACAGGTGTTGGGTCCACGGACGGCCCGTCTCTGCCACTGCGTCGCCACTGCAGGGACCTGGGGCATTGCCTGCTCTGAGCCAAGTTTCCGCGGCCGACAAGTGTCAGGTACTCGTGCTGTGTGTGTTAAAAGTCTCAGGTCAAATTCTTTCCTCTCTTTCAACTGTTACGAGAATAATTGATAAGGGCCACACATAAGACAGGTGGCCCCTGAGGTCGGTGTGAACGTTATTTTGATGCGAGAACCTGGCATAAACATCGCATGGTGGCTACTATGTGCCCTATACGAAACACCTCCTGTGTGTTTTTTCTTTTAGTCCAGGTGCCAGCTTTACCGGTGAGACACAATTATCCCCCCATGCCACCCAGGACGGCAGTAAAATGTAGACAGCAGGTGATTTGCCGAAGCCCGTGGAGCTGGCTGAGTGGCAGAATCGTCGGAACCCAGGGCGCTGGGCGTCAGAACCACGGACATCCCACTGACGGCCACCCACCTCCGCCCCCTGAGAGGCAGGACGTGAGTAAGTGTCCTGAGATCGAGAAAATAGAATGCCATTTCTTCAGCAAAATTTAAAACTTAAGGAAATTAAAAAATAAGGACATCAACGTAAAGGTCTTTTTTTTTTTTTAACGGCATAGGATCAGCAGTTAAAGACCCTCCCTTAGTGGCCCACCTCGTGCTTCCAGCACTATTTCCATCTTGGGGGCAGACCCTCCCTCTGAGGCGGGTCGGACAGGCAGCCTCGCAGCAAACCTTTCAGTCAAGAAAGTTTACTCCGAAGGTTCCCCACAGAGCCCGAAGCCGGGCGCGCTCACAGCCCCGCATTAAAACACTAGGAACAGATCGCATGGCCGCAGCTGCTTATCTGGATTACCTCGTCTAGCCGTTCTGCTAAGACTGAAAAAAACCTGTCTGAGCTGCAGGAAGAAAAAAAAGCACGCCTCTACAAGGTCAAGTTGGCGCTTGTTGGGAGGGCCGTGAGTTCCCATTCGTTGCCCCAGAAGGTTCAGGTGCACCTTGAGATGAAGTCAAGATGTTTTTCCAGATGCCAGGGTAGCCCAGGCTCCGCGTCTGTCCTTCCCCCGCTGGGTCCTGGGCTGTTTCCACAACCAGAGCCTCCCTTGATTTAAAATAGTAAAAAGAAAAAGTCCTTGAAGTGTTTCACAGCTGACCCTAAAATCTTAGACAGTAGGAAGTCGCAGTCCCTTCTCACAGCCATTTCATGCAACTCCCTTGAATGTCGCACAAAAAAATAAATAAAGTCAGTAAGACCGAGGGGTGCGCTGCCCTCCACCATGTCTCCTGGGCCAGGGCCCGCAGCACCACCACGGCGCGTGCGCACGCACCTGAGCCTTTTGAGATCTGATGCTCCTTGACACCATTTTTTTTTTTTACTTCCCAACATCAAAGTGTGGTCTCTACGTGTGGTCTCTAAGGCATGGGGTGATTTCTGTGTTGCAGAAAGGGAGAGAGAAGGGCGTTCTTGGGAAAAGCTCTTTTTTTTAAAATAATCTTTTTTTTAGATTTTATTTATTTATTTTTAGAGAGAGGGGGGGAGAGAGAGAGAGAGAGAGAGAGAGAGAGAGAGAGAGAGAGAGAGAAACATCAATGTGCAGTTGCTGGGGGCCATGGCCCGCAACCCAGGCATGTGCCCTGACTGGGAATCGAACCTGCGATGCTTTGGTTCGCAGCCTGCGCTCAATCCACTGAGCTACACCAGCCAGGGCGGAAAAGCTCTTCTAATGAGACTAGAAACTGCGGGCTTCTCGGTTCCCGCACACCCCCAGTTCCCATTTCCCCCCTTGGTGCTACTTCCAACGGCAGAGATGGTTCTTCGCCTTGTGCCTGTGGCCGCTGCTGGGGTCCCTCACACTGAGAAGAATGGGGGAGGTGGGCTCTGCAGCAGAGTGGCTCTCTGATTTCCTGCCATCACACATGTCCAGTTCCAGCATCGCCACTCGGACTCGGAGGCGGAAATGCCGTTCCACGTTCTCGGCCGGCTGCAGAGCTGTGCCGAGCGGCTGGAGGGTCACGGAGCCAGGGCTCCGGCCGCCGGTGCAACAGCCTCTCCCCGCCGGCGGCCCAGGACGGCCTGCGCTGTCAGTCTAGCTCTGGGGTGTTGACGCAAAGTTATGAATTCCCTGCGAAGTGCCTGTGAACCTGAAACAGAGAGTTCATGTTTCTCCTCTTGTGGGCTGTACTTGCAGAGGACTGAAGCTTCTGTTGTGAAATGTTTTCTCAACACGAAATCCCCACGGTTCGTCATGCGTGAAGAGAAGGGGCATGGAAATACGCACAACTCACGTCCCTTCAAGAAAGGCCGATGACATTCACGGCGTTGCTCCCGAAAGACAAACGCGCCGAGAAGCAGCTCGGAAGCTCTCTGCCTGCGCCCTTCGCGCACGTGTTGGAGAGGATTTCGAGGGGCCACGGGTGAGCTATGCCTGCACTGCCGGGGGCTCACCAGACGGGGGTGGGCTTTCAGGACGTAGCAGAAGCTAAGAGGCGGTCAGTCCCGTGTCGGGTCCAGAAATGTCATCAAGAAACCAGGCTATGTTGGTGGCGTTTTCTGCCCTTCTTCATCTCGTGTGTGACTTTGATTTGATTGGGCTGAAGGAACCGTGGCCTGGTCCCCTAAGGGAAGGTTTATTGTCACACGACCGCACCTGTTCCCTGGTCCGTGCCCGTGGCTGCTTTGGGGAGCGGAGGTGACAGCAACCTTGTGGCCCAGAAAACCCCAAGTCGTCACCATCTGCTCCTCTATAGAAAAAGGTGGCTGACCCCTGGTTAAGAACAATCTGGGAATTTAAGATATTTTTTATGATTTTTAAAAAGATTTTATTTATTTTGGGGAGAGGGGGAGGGAGAAAGAGAGGGGAAAAAATCAATGTGTGGTTGCCTCTCACCTGGCCCCCAGGCCCACAACCCAGGTGTGTGCCCTCACTGGGGATCGAACAGGTGACCCTTTGGTTCGCAGCCCGCGCTCAGTCCACTGAGGTACACGAGTCAGGGCGGAATTTAAGATTCTGATGGCTCAGACAGTCTCATGCTGGTTTTCAGGGTTCCCTTCCTCCGCAAACAGGTGCTGGCCTTGGCCCGGCGGACCTGCTGAGGCTGGGGGCCTGGGGTTTTTCGGAGCTGCGCGGCTGCAGGCGTCACGTACCGGGACCAATTCTTAGTCTCTTCCGTCCCTTGTCGGCAGGAGCGGGGAGTCTCTTCCCTTGCCAAGACGCCCTCCGCCTTGCACGTTTCACCTGCGTGGGCGGTGACTCGCCCTAAGTCTGCCATTGTCCCTCTCCAGGGCACGCGGCCCGGCCCAGCGATCCGATTTCACGGGCCTCATCACTCCTCTCTGCCTCCAACCTCCCAAAGGCCCGAGACGTCGCCTCTGACTATTTACCGTAAGTACGAGAGTACGCACACAGATGCCGCCAGCCTCGACTTTTTGTTTGCCCCAGGGATTCGGGCTCCAAACCGCCTCTATCCATCCAGACTGTTCACTTCTGGGGAAATGTGGACGCCACCGTACTGTTTCTTCTCTTCTTCTTTCAATTAAAAGCTTTATTTTCGGTAGCTCAGTGGATTGAGCTTGGGCTGCAAACCAAAGCGTCACAGGTTCGATTCCCAGTCAGGGCCCATGCCTGGGTTGCAGGCCATGGCCCCCAGCAACCGCACATGGATGTTTCTCTCTCTCTCTCTCTCTCTCCCTCCCTTCCCTCTCTAAAAATAAATAAATAAAATCTAAAAAAAAGAATTCTTTCTTTAAAAATTTTCTTTTCAGTCACCGTGGACATACGGCATTATGTTGGCTTCAGGTGGACAGCAGCGCGGAGCCCGGGCGGCAGACGCGAGGCCTGCAGGCCGAACCCGGCCCTCCACCTTGTTTTATCCAGCGGCCGCAGCGCCGAGCTCCGCGCCCCGGTTAAGGAGCAGGTACATTTGTACAGTCCTCCAAGGACATTCGGCCCTTTGAAGGGCCACACCGAGAGGCTGACGCGCCCCCCCCACCGCGGGGAAGATGGGTTTGACACCCCTGGCCGAGTGGTTCGACGGCTGCGTGAGTTACAAAGTGGTCCCCCCGTGAGCCTGCGCCCCACCCCCATGCCTGACACCCCGCACACGGTCCCTGCCACACCGCGTGACGATTTCCACCCCGTGGGGTTGCGCGTGTTTTTTCTAAGTCGTGTTACCCTGTCACTTTACTACAGCAGGACACCAGTCAAACACTCCCGCGGCCGAAGACCGGCGCCGGGGCCGGGGCCGTGATGGAGCTGTGTGCCCCCGATCACGCAGTCCTGGGACTGGCAGCGAAGCGCCCGCCCGGTCGGTGACGGATGAGGCTCGCGGGGCCGGGCCGGCGCGGCTTGTGGAGGTGCGTGCGTGCGTGCGTGTGGGGGCCACGGTGGTTGGGGGCAGAGTGGAGGGGGACACGCCTTGCAAGTTGGCACGGGGTGAGCCCGGAGAAGTCACGCTTGGCCGGGGGCCCAGGGTACAAGTTTGTGCGGAGCCGGGGAAGGCGATGCCCGGTCCTCTGTGTGACACCTGGCGCAGAGGCTCGGGGGCGGGGGGGGGTGGCGTGCCTCGTCAGCGATTTCCCCAGATGCGATTTCTGGGTCTCTCCCCCGCTGTCGGCGGCTCCTTTCAGACGCACAGATCACGTAGCCCCAGAGCTGCCAGGACGCCCCCCGCTCCGGGCGCAGCAGCCCGCGGGTCGTGCTTCCTCGCCGGCACGGTCCTGGGCGAAGGGGGGCGTTGGCCAGGAGTCAGCGTGCCCCCTCCACTCCGAGGGCCCAGCCGAGGGACCTGGATTTTCCGGTTTGAAGGGCACAGTCGGACTGGGCAGTGGGCAAAGTGTCCGAGGTCCTGGAGAGAGCCAGGCTGTTTCTGCTGGCCTCACCGTCCGGCCCAGGGAACAGAGGCAGGGGTCAGGTCCAACCTTCAGCGCAGCAGGGGGGTTGCCCCATGTCGGGGCCTCGAACAGGAGAGACAGGCCGGCTCCTCAGGCCCTTTCATCCCCTCTGTGCCGGCCGTGGGCAGGGGCGGGCAGGGCTGGGGGGTGAGGTGTAAGCCCTAGGTGCTTAACCCCTAGTTACAATCTTACTCTTTTATTTTATGTATTATTTTTTAAATATTTATTTTTAGACAGGAAGGGAAGGAGAGAGAGGGGGAAAACATCAATGTGCAGTTGCCTTTCGAGTGCCCCACCCGGGGGGACCTGGCCTGCAACCCAGGCATGTGCCTTGACTGGGAATTGAACCTTTGACCCTTTGGTTTGCAGCCCGCATTCAATCCACTGGGCCACCCCAGCCAGGGCCCTGGTGACAATCTTGATAAGGGAAGAGTGAATCAGTCACTTTGGACCCTGAAGCTGGCCGGTTCCACGCAGTTGGCGAGAGCAGGGCTTGCCACGCAGTGAACCTGGAACAGAGGGACAGCGTAGCGTGAGGCAGAGAGAGATGCTGGCGCACCATCGCTGCCTCTTTAAAGGACTCGGCTGGGACTCAGATCTTCTCGCCGTCTGCAGGACAGGTGTCGTCGGGGCCTCCACAGGGAGACGGCCCCTCGGAACCCCCCCACCCCCACCCTGGGGCTCACGCACACCCCCGTGGCCCCGGGGACGAACGCCTGGCTCCAGAGATGAAAAATCCTGGTAGAAGCGTGAAGGCTCATAAATGCCTCCCGGAAAAGTTTGCATGCGGCCACCGGTGCCTGCCCGCGGTGGCCACGGTCCCCTCTCACCTTCTGGACTTCCTAGCACCAGGGAGGCGAAGTTGTCATTGCCTCCAAGACACTGCCTCTTTTTGCCAACAATGATCCCATTGTACACCCCGCGCCGCCGCCGGCGGCGGCGTCTCTGGTCCCTCACAAACGCCGCTGGTGTTCGCTGAGCCGCAGAAAAGCTTTTGGCTCAGTGTCCTCCCCCGTCTGTGGGTCAGGGCTTGCTGGAGTTGTTGGGACAAGAAAACCATTTCCCTCTCCGCATTCATTACAGGGAAAAAAATCCCATTGTGTGCCTCACAAGTGACGTGTGACTCATCTCTTTTGGGGGGCGGAGTTGCAGTTTCAGGTGTTGGTCAACGGTGGAGTCTTCGGTCAGGGAAAGCGACAGACGTCCGGGCACAGCGGGATGCTGCAATCGGTGTGCTCTGTTCATTCCGCGGCCGCGCCTACAGGATGCTGAGGAACCGTGCGGGAATGCTTCCACGAACGAATCATCGGGTGCGTGGGCATCACCGCTCCCCGGCTGGAGACTGACCTCCACGGGCCGAGGGAAATTCCTGCGGAGTGACCGGGGCAAAATGCCACGTCGGTGCTGACTTCTTCCAGCTAGTGTGTGTTTCCACTTTGTTGTTTGAACAATGAAAAGAGCTTTATTCTTTCTTTAGAATTATTAGGTGAATATTTGTGTGCTTACATGAAAACAATGTTAAGTTAAATTTGTTGAGGTGCCGTTGGTTGACGGGTCACATGGGTTCCAAGCGTGCGTGTCTGTGACATAAGGTCTGTGTGTTGCACTATGGGCCCCCCACCCAAAGTCAAACCATCGTCCGTCACCGCGTGTTAGGTCCCCTGCACGCCCCCCACCGGCCACTGCCTTCCCTCTGGCCACCGCCGCATTGATGTCAGTTTTATGCCCCACACATGAGGGAAGTCACATGGTTCTCACGTGTTTTCCATCTCACTCGTCTCAGCATAGTGTTCAGAAGGTCCGTCCCGGTGTCACCCGCGGCGGGACTCCCTCTCTCCCTGTGTCTGAGCGGCGCCCCACTGCGCGCACGCACCTCTGCCCGGCCACCCGTCGAAGGGCACTGGGGGCGTCTCCCGCCTGGGCCGCCGTGGGTGGTGCTGCAGTGAACACGGGGGTGCCTGTGTGTTTGCGAATATATATTTTCAAGTTATTATTATTTATACACAGGGGAAAAACATCATGCAGGCTACCACAAACATTTCAGAGAGGACAGTGACACGCAAGGGAGAGGACGTAAGTGCCCCTCCCCAACCGTCCAGGGGGGGTCAGTGTCGAGGTCTGTTGTTCTGGTCACACCCACGCCGGTGTACTTCCCCAACCAAATTAAATCCAAGCATGGGGGGCGGCGAAGTCACACATACATTACATTTGAAAGAAGTACTTGCTTTCTGTCGGCAAGGTCAAAGTTCTTCTTAGTCAAAATGCAGTTTTCTCTCTTCTCCCCTCTTACGCCACGTGTTGCTCGTGCAAACAAAAGGAGATGACGCAGTGAAACTGGAATCCAGCGAAAAGTCACCTGCCTGGGGTTCGGTTGGAAACCGCAGGCGGCCGAACGTGTCAAGTGCTGCCAGAGGTGAGAAACCTCAACCGGGTGAAATCTGGCCGCGTTTCCTGAGCCTGAACTCAGCCGCGGAGCGAGTCCCTGGCCTGAGTCACCGCGTGCGTGTTCCCCAGCACCTGCAGGTGTGACTGCCGCGCCCGCCTGGCCTTCCAGGTCGGCGCCGAAGGGATGCCTCTCGGCCTCGTCACGCTCACCTCCCCCTTCCGAGGTGAAGCCCGGGGCCCGGGGGGTGGGGGGCGAGGCTCCTGGGGAAATGGTCGGCGGCTTTGGCTCGGCCAGCGGGCCCGGCCTCTGCGGCCTCGTGGCCCTGAACGCCGGGGCTGGCACGGTCCCAGGGCTGGCAGCGACGGAAAGGGGTCACGGCCCGAGGCAGAGCCGCCGATGGACCACCGGTGGCCTGGCCTCTGTTACAGTGGTGTTTCTTTAAGTGAGGGAAAAAAATGTTTCTCAGTGATTACTGACTTGGGTTCGCTTTTGTGTCAGCCACAGTAGCTGTCTCACAGAGTTTCACGGAACAAGAGAAAAGAGATAGTGGATACCGAGCGAGGGGCTTCTTGTAGGGTTATTCGACCCTTCCACAGCACTCAAAAGGGTCTAATAACGAGGCGAGGCAGTCACAGGCACGGGCACACTGTCACCGACGTACTTCCAAAAGCCGGCCCCCGGGAGTGAGTGAGAGCTGGGGAGGAGCGTACGCAGACCGCCCCCAAAGCTTTGGCCCCATGGTCAGCTGTGAAAACCATCAACCTTTTCCGTCGTTCTCAAGCAGAGAAACAATCCGTTCCATAGGAAACAAATGGCATTCATAAAAATGGTTTAAACTCTGCTAAGTGGAATGCGTCCTATAAAAAAGGACCTTTCGTGTTCTGCTGCTTCTGTGTCTGCCTCCAAAATGTGTCTTGAACAAAAAGTGTCTGCACATCAATGCCAGATTTTCTGGCCACTGGAACCAAACTGTCGCCCTCCACAGGCTCACAGGTAGGCACACTACCCCCCCGCAAAGATTGCAGCTGGATTTGGGGACCAAGACATAGATACACGCGAGTTCAAGTTGGCGCGAGCCTGCGGCGGACGGCGCGTGGTGAACTGCCGGACGGGCGATAGGGACCGTGCTTGAGGCCGAGGGTAGGGGAGGACCTGTAACACCGTCTCTGCTGCACAGTGGGAGAGGAGAGAGAGCCTTCGGGGACCCCGCCTGAGGCATGACCGAGGGTCGCGCAGCCATTCCCGGCGAGGGTGGCGCCTGCTGTAGAGGTGCGTGTCCGCCCCTCGGTGCGACGGGGAGACACATAAGGGACAGTCTCCTCTGGGAGTGTGTTGCCTTCTTTGTGTACTTGCACTGTCCTCCAGGGGGAGAGCCACGTAAAGACGGAAGGGACAGTAGGCATTTACGCTGACCCTGTGGCTTCTGTGCGCCAGTCCGGAAGGCCACCCTCGGTAGGAGTCAGCGTGGAGTTCCCCACCCGCGTCGGGGGTGCCCCGTCTTGGGCCCCGTGTTAGCTCCCGCCTTGGCTCCTCGTGCCCTTTTCCTCCATGCCCACTGTGTGCCCCATGCTCTAGTCTTTTTGGATTTGTCTCCTCTTTCTGGCCACGTGCTTGCCCTTGCACTTGGTGGCAACTCTGGCGTTCCCGGCTTTAACCCTGGGCAGCCCCTGGAGCACGCTCCTGGACGACTGGCTCCTGGCGTTTCTGGGTCACGCCGCGATGACGTGCACTCCACACAAAGCCCTCGTCAGCGGGGCCTCTGGGGCTCCGCGCGCAATTTGATAGAGATGCTATCTTCACACCACGAGTCTGGCTTTGACACGGTTGGCACTCGGAACAGAATCACTCACGTCAGAGTTTGCCATAGCTTACCCGTGACCTTCGGAGATGGTTTCTAGTTCACCTGCTCCCGTCACTGCGTCTCAGAACAAGGGCTTCCGTCTCCCCTCCTCCTACCGGGTGACGATGACGGAGCCCCAGGTCCGCACCTGCTGCCTCGCCTGTGTGCTTCCATGCACACTAATGCTCGACTGTCTTGTCCCCGGGGATGTCCTAAACACCCAGACACACTCACACGTGGGCACTGCCCGCGGGAGAGTCACGGTGGTGTGCGGGCAATGCGCCTTTAGTGCCAGGTATCACCCGGTGTTTGATGCCTACTCTCAGAACGCGCAAGCCACCCAGCTCCCACGGTGCATCTGTAGCCACTGACTCCACGTTCCCCAAACAACCCTTTTCCTATTGTAAGCACGCACCTCATCCTCTGCTCCCAAGCCCAGCTTCTGGGTGGTCCCCAAATGCACAAACCCTTCAGAGAAATCTCAACAGAGCCCTCAAAACGCTCCGTATTCTTTAAAGCAGAGGTGAAAGGCCACAGGCCAAGGGCAGTGCCTGCCGGGGGGGCTCAGTGTCCCCACCGGGGGAGAGACTTAACGTCCTAGACTAGGAGACGACTGTAAGCAGGAGGGATGGGATGCCCGGAGAAGAGAAGGGGCACAACCGTTGTCTTCAAACACTTGAACGCTGTCGTCGGAGCGAGAGACCAGTCCTGTCCTGCACGCTCTCCAGGGACAGGATCGGCACGAGCGCTGGGGCACGGGAGACGGGTCCCGGTTCAGCACGAGCAGCGGATGTCTAAGGAACAGCACTGCGCAGACACCCGACGAGCCCAGCTGGGAGCTCGCTGTTGTTAAAATTCGGGGAACGGCTGGGTTTAAACACACGGGGGAGGGCAGCGTTGGGGGTGCCCAGGGCTACTCTACTGCAACCTGCCACAGATTTAGGTGCATTTTACTCACGCCTTTAACACAAACCTTTGCATGTTCATTATACCCCAGGCACAGTGCGAGTTTCTAGGAACAAGGCGGCGCATGAGTCATAGCTCTGACTTCAACGCACTTGCCGTCTGCTGGGAGGAAGACGTGCTGGCGGAGGCAGGCGTGCGGACGAGGGGCGGGCGGCGTCGGTGACCCAGAACGGATGCTTTCGTTGTCCGGGAGCTCAGCTTTGCTCTCCTGTGTACCCCAGCACCCAGCACAGTGTCTGGCTCACAGGAGGCACTCCACAAGTTCTTGTTGGCTGAATTTGTTAAATAATAGGGGTCTATTCTGATAGAGATTCCTCTAGCGAGGTACTAAGGAGGGGGTGTTTAGCGCCATCCGACGGGATGGGACGTGTTCAGAGAGGGGCTGAGTCCCCTCTGTCTCTGACCTCGGAGCAGGAGTGTGGTCTGACTGGGAAGAGGCGTCCATGGTGAAGAAGTAG